AGATCAGCCGTTCAGAGAGCAGCCGTTCAGAGAGCAGCCGGTCAGAGATCAGCCGGTCAGAGATCAGCCGTTCAGAGATCAGCCGGTCAGAGATCAGCCGGTCAGAGATCAGCCGTTCAGAGAGCAGCCATTCAGAGAGCAGCCATTCAGAGAGCAGCCATTCAGAGATCAGCCGTTCAAAGATCAGCCGGTCAGAGATCAGCCGTTCAGAGATCAGCCGGTCAGAGATCAGCCGTTCAGAGAGCAGCCATTCAGAGATCAGCCGTTCAGAGATCAGCCGTTCAGAGATCAGCCGTTCAGAGAGCAGCCATTCAGAGATCAGCCGTTCAGAGATCAGCCGTTCAGAGATCAGCCGTTCAGAGAGCAGCCGTTCAGAGAGCAGCCGTTCAGAGAGCAGCCGTTCAAAGATCAGCCGTTCAAAGATCAGCCGGTCAGAGATCAGCCGTTCAGAGATCAGCCGGTCAGAGATCAGCCGTTCAGAGATCAGCCGTTCAAAGAGCAGCCGTTCAGAGATCAGCCGTTCAGAGAGCAGCCGTTCAAAGATCAGCCGTTCAAAGATCAGCCGTTCAGAGAACAGCCGTTCAGAGATCAGCCGTTCAGAGATCAGCCGTTCAGAGATCAGCCGTTCAAAGATCAGCCGTTCAGAGAACAGCCGTTCAGAGATCAGCCGGTCAGAGATCAGCCGGTCAGAGATCAGCCGTTCAGAGATCAGCCGTTCAAAGATCAGCCGGTCAAAGATCAGCCGTTCAAAGATCAGCCGGTCAGAGAGCAGCCGTTCAAAGATCAGCCGTTCAAAGATCAGCCGTTCAGAGAACAGCCGTTCAAAGAGCAGCCGGTCAGAGATCAGCCGTTCAAAGAGCAGCCGTTCAGAGATCAGCCGTTCAAAGATCAGCCGTTCAAAGATCAGCCGGTCACAGAGCAGCCGTTCAGAGATCAGCCGTTCAGAGATCAGCCGTTCAGAGATCAGCCGTTCACAGATCAGCCGTTCAGAGATCAGCTGTTCAGAGATCAGCCGTTCAGAGATCAGCCGTTCAGAGATCAGCCGTTCAAAGATCAGCCGGTCAGAGAGCAGCCGTTCAGAGATCAGCCGTTCAAAGATCAGCCGTTCAGAGATCAGCCGTTCAGACAGCAGCCGTTCAGAGATCAGCCGTTCAAAGATCAGCCGTTCAGAGATCAGCCGTTCAGACAGCAGCCGTTCAG